CAGGCATTTAGGGATTTCCTTATGTTGTTTGGATCCAGGTTCTCCGTCATGGGCAGTTGTTTGACTCTATGTGACAGATGCATTTTGGCATGATTTTGCTACTATCCATGCTACACTTCTTTTCGTTTCGGTTTAGACGTTGTCTCCGCATTTGCGGTGTTCGTGTTTTGTGGATGATGAGTATCAAATGTATCGGTTGATGTTTTTCCCGTTTCTCATTGTATGCTTCTGACAAACCAATTTGTGAACTTGCATTTCGGTCCACGAATGACATATGGAGTGAAAATTAGATAAATGTGGGTGTATGTCTGCGTGTGTTTGTTTTTTTCAGCTCTCCCACAACACCCAAATGCGACATTTCAAAAAACCAAAGAACCGTTGCTGAATTAGGTGGGGCGCTRGGGGGACGGGGCGGTTGGGCGTTGGGGCAACGGGGTGGTTGGGYGCTGGGGCGCCGGGGTGTGCCYGCTAGGGCGCCCGGCGCYGGGGCGTTGGGGCGCCAGGTTGTGGGTGCTGGGGCGCCGGGGCGCTGGGCCGCCAGGGTGTGGGGTGGTGGTGCGCTGGGGCGCCGGGGCGCCGGGATGTGGGGCGCTGGGCCGGGGCACTGGGGGCTCTGGGCTTCCGGGGTGTGGGGTGCTGGGGCGCTGCGGCGCTGTGGTGTGGGCCGTTGGGGCGCTGTGGCGCTTGGGCAACGGGGTGTGGGGCTCTGGGGCGATGTGAGCATGGGGCGATGGGACACTGGGGCGCTGGGGCACCGGGGTGTGGGGCGATGGGGCGCCATGGCACTGGGGCGCTGGGGCGTTGGGGCTCTAGGGCGCTGGGGCGCCGGGGTGTGGGGCTCTGGGGCGCAGGGGCGCTACGGCGCTATAATGTGGGCTGCTGGGGCGCTGGGGCGCTTGGGCGCCGTGGTGTGGGGCTCCGGGTCGCTGGGGCGCTGGGGCGTTGGGGCGCGGGGACGCTGGGGCGTTGGGGCGCGGGGACGCTGGGGCTCTGGGGCGCGGGGGTGTGGGGCTCAGGGGCGCCGGGGCGGTGGGGCACTGTGGCGGTGGGGCGCTGGGGCGCCTGGGTGTGGCCGCTGACGGTGGGGCACCGGTGCGGCGCTGGGGCGCGTGGGTGTGGGCGCTGGGTCGCAGGGGCACTTGGTTGTGGGTGTTGGGGCGCCGGGGCGCTCGGCCACGAGGGTGTGGGGTCGTGGTGCGCTGGGGCGCTAGGGCGCCAGGGTGTGCGGCGCTGGGCCGGGGCGCTGGGGCGTTGGGGCGCTGGGGCGCTGGGCGCCCGGTGTGTGGGGTGCTGGGGCGCTGCGGCGCTGGGGTCTGGGCCGCTGGGGCGCTTGGGCGCCAGGGTGTGGGGCTCTGGGGCGCTGTGAGCACAAGGCACTGGGACGCTGGGGCGCTGGGGCACCGGGGTGTGGCGCGCTGGGGCACTGGGGCGTTGGGGTGCTGGGGCGCCGGGGTGTGGGGCTCTGGGGCGCAGGGGGGCTACAGTGCTAATGTGTAGGCCGCTGGAAAGATGGGGTGCTTGGGCGCCACGGTTCTGGGGCTCCGGGGCGCTGGGGGGTTGGTGGTGGGGGTTTCGGATTGGGGCTCCGAAACCCGGACCCTACCCCCTCGAACAAAAAAAAGTTAAAAAAAATGATTTTCGGGGGGGTCGTTTTTGGGGGTGGGGGGGAAATTAAAAAAAAATATTGATTGCTTGGTTGGTTTTTGATTGATTGATTGATTGATTGATTGATTGATTGATTGATTGATTGGTTGATTGATTGATTGACTGATTGATTGATTGGTTGAT